TTGCTTACAAACTTTCCAATTTTAAGCAAATATTACTGTACCTATTATGTTGAACATCTGAAACAAAAGCCTCTTACGTGTTCTTGCTCTTCTTTTTTCAACTAAATTACACTAGATATGTAATTAACGATGATGTTAATATATTAAAAAATTAAGACCAAAAACAATAATCTGAAAAACAATCTTTAATACTGGAGCCCCGATATTTTGATTTATTGCTATTATGGTTTCTGTCGAAGATCATGCCATACGCCATGCTATAAGTAGAATATTATAAGTGCTTTAGAAATTTATTAAAAAAGTTACAAAGTTAAAAGGCATCCATCGTTCTTGAACTCAGAGGTGATGAATTAAAGCTGACATGAATTCTTAAAAACGCAACATTTTCATCTTTGTACGACTTATTTCATACCAACTATAGCCGTATTTAGCCTGGTCCCCTGTCTCATCCTTGCCCAGTGACGCGGAGTACATGAAGCAAAACAGGAACAGGGAACCAGGCTATAACCGTATTCCGCCATATATTTTTTTTTATAGATACCTGGTCTTATTGTAACGATATTATACCCCAATGCGGTCGTTACGCTTGAATGGTTTTATGAAGAGTATTGGGAACTTTCTCAAATACCTTCTCAGGTAAGGAATCTGGACAAAAAAATATTTTGACAAGAGGAATAAAAAAAAGCTAAATTTAGGTAGAATGTGCAATTCTACGTATACGGAAGCGTATTAGGGCCGCAAATAATTTGTTATTACAAATTAGTAACTTGTTATAACAGATTAATAATTTGTTATAACAGAATACTAATTAATTTGATAAAACAAATTAGTAATTTGTTATAACAAGTTTAAATAATTTGTTATAACAACTTAATAATTTGTTATTCCAAAATGCTTTGACATATAATCATTCGTATTATATGTCAAGAAAATTTAATACAATTCACATTCAATTCTATTGTGATCATTCATGTACCACAGAATCAAATTCGTTTATTGTGTATAAAATTATAAATAACTTTAAATCAAGTTGTATTAGGTTCTATATATTTTTTTTTTAAAAATATGCCAGTACACAGCATTTATTTGGCAATAATTGATCGTGGAGACATCCGATCTTTTTCAAACATTTGTTTAAATTATTTTTAGTAGAGTGTTATGCATGTTTTTTAACCCCCCTTTCACAGAAAACTCTTCAAAAGATGAAAGATTCGTAATGATGCATGCTATATAATAAATTTGATATAGTTAAGCCATGTTCATAAATTTTATTTACAATATTTACATACCAGACTATTATTTATTTCTGGAAAAAAAATATTTGCAATTTTTTTCAGTCAACCAAAATACCAGTAAGGTTTCCACCTTTGAAATTTTCCTTGACCAAATAAACTGATCGGTATGGACCATGTGTGTCCAAGTGCTATGTAGTGACAATTTTTACTGTTGAGTTAGCAATGGATTATACATGATTTCTGAGATGCATATTTCAATAAAAGTAAAATGGGATATTTCTTTCGACATGTGCACATCCCTGTAACGATAGCAGTATTCAGGTAAATTACTTTTTATCACTGCGTTCGATACGTTTTCTCGACTTGCACGCGTGCATGTCCAAACGGCTTTTGCTGTACGTGAATGTATTCCGTGTTAGTGTTCTTTTTTTTCTATTGCAGCAAATGCACTCAAAATAATTTACTGTCAGTATAGTTCTAGTTTTGGTTGCATTTTTAAAATATGTACTAGTATTTCGTCAGTATATGGATTTTTAAATACTATACTATCGGAGATGTGTACATGTCGGCAGCCAGGGTAAAAAATCACTCAAGTGAAACAAATGTACCAGGCTTTATATATCAGGTACTGGTGGCCAAAAACTTTCGATTAAAAATGGCGGAATCGAGGAAATATGGCGGACAAAGGCGTACAGGAATGTAGTAAGTCGTACAAGGATAAAAAAAATGAAGCCTTTTTAAGAGTTCATGTCAGCTTTAATTAAAATGACGACATGGACGTATGTTATGCTTGAAGCAGACAAGTTGGTTTAATATCATCTCTGTTTGAAGGGTACATCATTATCACTACTAAATAATATTAAAAATGTACAACTTTTCTTTCTCTTATACAATTATTCTTTGCAATCAATTATTAGCTTAACTCTTAAGGGACTCCGACCCTCAGCCAGGAAGGCTCTTTAATTTATAATTTGATTCAAAAAGTCTTTCAATTTAGCTTGAAAATTAAATATTTTCATGTAACAATTTTCATTATATGCCTCTCAATGTGCTTCAAGGATCTTTGCAAAGCTCCATAAATCACTTCTAATTTCATACTATGTTAATAAACATTGGTATCTAAAAATGCTTTTTCGGGATAAAAAAATTCTACTTTTAATTAGACCTTTCTGAGAAGTTCAAAGAACCTTGAAGCACATTGAGAGGCATACAATGAAAATTGTTGCATAAAAAGATTTAATTTTCAAGCTTAATTTAAAGACTTTTTAAATTATATTCTAAATTAAAGAGTTGTTTTTCCTGGCTGAGGGTCGGAGTCCCTTAATATCATGGACAGTTACCTATTAGGTAAAAACTGAACTTCGAAATTTACATATATTGTGATACGTAATCGACAAGATAATCTATTCTGAAATTGATATTTAAAACGTTGTGGAGTTCCTTATAGGTAACACGCTAATAAAATCAAGCCATATGCCAACACGATATATCCAAGTAAATTTGAAATAAAAGATACCACGAAGACAAACGAGATGGTTTCATCTTTTCTATCATTTAACTTCCTTACTCATCTACTCATATTCCGCTTAAACCTGCCTATAGAGGTAACGTGTTGAAGTTTTTTTTTGTTACTAAAGAGCATACTCTAAGTACGATCAATGTTTTAACTGAGTAACAACACTGACAGATGAGTTGATGATTTAACCAACCTCGTTTTCAGTTTGCATTTTGTAAATTCCATCCATGTTCCTTATAATGACCTTGTTAACAAGTATAACCTATATGGATCTTTAGCTGATGTGTTTCATTTATTATATACCCATCAATTTCCTTGTTTTTGTTACTGTTAATTTTACAGAGTTTGATCCGATTTTCCGGAACACCACACTGTGGTTTTCTGAATCCATATCATCACTCTCTGAAACTGATGACATAGTACGCAAAAACATGACGTTATTTTTCTTGCGCGTTAAAAAGTCCCTTGTTATTATGCTTTGTTTTATGGATAAATATTATACAATTGATCTGTAAAGTTTTTTTCTGCTATATTTAGTAGTTATAAGGGGGTATATAATAAATTTATCATTATAACAGTAACTTGATCCGAAGAGCTGTATCACGCCTCATTGACAGGCGTGGATCATCAGATCAAACTCGACGCTTCGTGTCTCGTTAGATCTGATGATCCGCGCCTGTCAACTCGACGTGATACGACCCTTCGGATCAGGTTACTGTTATAAATAATATATATATATATATTCTATTATTAACTATGAGATGCTCCGTCTACCTTATTTAGACAAGGACTCAAGGCGCTTGTGTCCGGTCAACAGGGGATACCCTCTCCTTCTTTACACCTGGTCCCACCTGTGCTATTTCCAAAGTTTTTTATGTCCTCTTTACAGAGTAAGTTTTTTAGATCATCCACTGTTTGTTATCTTTACTTCTTTCCCCTTTTAAGACAAATCTAATAGCATAGCACACTAGTAATTAAACTGATTTTATTGTTACAGTGATGTTGGCGCCGTTTAAAAAACACGGACAGGTCACGGAATCACGGATGCACGGAAATATAGAAAATAGTACAAATCACGGATTGTTTTTTGCACGGATGATAAATCCGTCCGTGCATCTCCGTACATTAAAAAAATCCGTGAGATCTATAAATAAAAATAAAACAGTAAGTAATATTCACGGAATTTATTTATCGGAAGAAAATGTTACAATATTTGATAACAAAGAATTATTTAATAAACTTATGAACTCTTACAATCCATACATTTGATGGTTTTAGACTTTCTAATTTGTTTTTCACTAAGTGTTGTATTTTGACATCGTGGATGAAACCACTGGCGACATTTAGTGCAATTAAACATGAATCCATGTTCAGGCATTCTGCACGTGCAAAACAACTTCATGTCAAATGTAAACTCTATTGACTGTTGGCGTTTACACGGAGATGACGGAAATTTACGGAAAATTCCGTCAGTGATACATTTCATCAAATGGGGCCTCATTGCTTCAGTGTGGAAATGAGTATTTTCTGGAAGTCCACCGAAACATATCTCTACTGCGTTTGCAATGGCATAGCGACCACAGTCGTTGCAATTTTTCTGGACATCAGAATTCATAAAGTCAACTGTAATGTTTTCCTCTGGAGAATGCATTATATTAGCAATGCTCATTTGAACGGCTGATGAAATTGAGTTTGACATTGCGCTATCATAAAGTTTAACGCACGAGGACGCAAAATTTACATTCATAGTTGTAAACATAATCCAAAGCTGGTCTTAACATTTTCTTGAATTTGTTTGATCACGGAGGGTTTAATTCTCACGGAAATTTTTGTCTGTTTTGTGCCATTTCCGTGCGATGATAAAGGAACATACACCTCTTTCCTAAACCTTTTGTCTGTAATTCTTCTTTTTCTCCCCTCCGTAGCAATATGCAAATAGTAATAATACTTTTTTAATTCTCCGGAGTTTCCTTTCACTTTCCGGGTTCCTTCACATGAAAACCTACGTATAAGAAAGGAAAGAAAGAAGATAAGAGATAGCAGATAAAGAAGAGAAAACAATCGATAGAATAATAGATAAAAATATAAGAACAGTTTTTTACAGCTCTATATTTATTAATTATAAATATTTGAAATATACCTATGTCCATCTGCAACCCAATCTCTATTCTCCATTTCATTTTTTGGATGAAAAACATAAACTTTGCCACCTTTTGGGCGAAATGGCATTTGTGAATTATGTTCTTTATATAATATTAAATGTTCAACATCTCTATCACTAAGGCTAGAGTGTCTATTCGAAATTATAGGTTGAACTTCTGAAGCTTTATCGTCATCCATCTCGCGCCAAATCCTAGCTCTATTTGTGACGTCACCGTGGATACCATTGTTACGTATACAGTTAAGCTATACGGATTTCCGTAAACTCAAAAAGTAAAATGATAATAATTACTACCGAATAGCAGAAATAAAATTATCCTTAATTTAAACTTTCCGTACATAAAAATTTATCAGTGATTTCTCCGTATTTTGTAAACTTATTTCCGTATTCCGTGCATCCGTATTCCGTGACTTATCCGTGTTTTGTCAACCTCCCAATGTTGGTTTTATTGAACACCATTTAAAAATATACATGCACGTGTAAAATGAATTTCCTGAGTCCATACATTCATTTTCCTTTCTTTTGTTAGAAATGGACAGAAACACAACAGTTGAAAGCCTATTTCCTTTAAGCAAGAATTACAACATCAGTGACTTAGAGCTGGAGGATAACGTTACGTACAACACTTCTAGAAACAATGATTTTCCAACGGAATTCTTAGTTACTTTAGTTGTTGCTACGTTAATACTCATAACTGGAGTGATTGGAAACAGTTTTACAATTATGTTAGTTATTGTGAAAAGAAACTTACACACGCCAACATACACCGCCATAGCTTGTCTTGGAATTGCTGACCTCCTAGCATCCTGTTCCCGATTCGTTTTACATTTGAACCAATATTTTGACTTTTTAAATTCGATGGAAATTACAGTATATGGCATTATTACTTTGTTTTTCCTACATGCAGCAAATTTCCATGTAGTTTTATTTGCATATTTGCGTTGTAAATTAATTTCGTCCCCACTTCATAGCATTGGAATTACGTGTCGAAAGGTTTTGAAAATTTCCATCGTTATTTGGATAGCAGGTGGTGTTGTGACGTCAGCCTACGGTACAATAATGATACTTGAAATCAAAAGTATTGTTTCACTTGAAGACAGTTTGCTCACTGAAATTATATTCTGGTCTTATACTTACTTTTTGCCATTATTCCTCATAGTTTACTTTCATGTTAGAAAAATAAGAACGATGAAGCAACATAAATCCGAAACAACAAGAACACCGCGTTATACACATATGTCTAAGTCAATGTCTTTTATGTTTATTATCATCATTGCCATATTTGTCATCAGTACAACTCCATCATATGTGCATGTCATCATACAATACATATGCTGGAAAGAAAATTACCATTCAATTACCGGTATTTGCATGCATTATCCTTTTTCATTAAGCTATTCAATCTCCTACATTTGCGTCATGTTAAATAATTGCATAAATCCAATAATTTATTTCATGTTTTCCCCTCCTGTCCGAAAGTTTCTGAACCGTTGTTTGTCGATTCAGAGATAATTTATTATCAGGTGAGACAGACTTAAGCTGAAAAGACGCGTTTTCTTATACTTACGTATACCTCTCAAGAGATACTTTAGGCGATAACAGCATAATGGATACTACTGTATCATGGCACTAATCTAGTTTAATGAATTCAATTTTTAACCCTTTTAGTAGATATATGTAGGTTATTCCAAAAGATGTATATGAGTAAACATACATGTGGACGTAAATAGTACGTGTGTCATAATTCCCTTTGAGAATGACAAAGACTCCTAAATATGACAAACTCTGAAGACGGATCTGATATTCTACTGTCAAAATTACAAAAAATTAATGGATTGAAAAATAGTATATAACGCCGTAACAATAACAGTTTACAGATATACTGACTCAATTCATTTTAGAATAGATGCTAGATTTACTAAAAGCTAATAATTTTTATATAAGCTTGAAATAATATTGAGCATGGCATTGCTGAAATCTCTAACTAAACACAGCACCAGAAATATACCTCTACATGAAATGTACTCTTCCAAACAATCCAAAATATTCTTGATTGAAATCAAATTCATGAACTTGATTTGTTTCCGTTTGCAATAAGTAGTCCTAATCATGGACTCGGTACAGTGTATTAATATTCAAATATTTGAAAATGTACATGCTTACATCGCAGCAACCAAACGTTTTACACTTTACACTGTACGTTACTTCTGTCAACATTTCCTAAACGGTACAACATTGTAATTTTTTTTCTACTCTTTTTCTTGTTTCTTTTTAAATATGTTTGTCTTTTTATTTTCATACCTAAATATTGTGTGTGTTCATCTTGACTTTGTAGGAGGGCTAAAATAGGTTTTGCCTGCTGCCCGATCCCATTCACTTTTTAAAATTTAAAAATTTAAAATAAATAAACACAATACAGAAAACAACAGGAGGCTACCAAGTTATTCCGAGGATGAAGCAGCGCATAAGAAAATCAAAAACTATAAAAATACAATACCATAAGCGACTTTAACTTTTGCAAAAGCATTGCTCATAATTGGATTAACTAGAAAGAATTACAGATACTAACTTACGCATGGGAATTGCTGACGTTCTAGCATCTTTTTCCCGATTTGTTTTACTACTACATTACTATTTTGGAATATTCAAAATTTACATGGAAATTGTAATATACATCATAATAGTTATCTTTTTTCCTACATGCAGCTAATTTACACATATTTTTGTTTGTATATTTACGTTGTAAATAGTTTTTGTCACCACTTCAAAGTGCTGAAATCACGTGTCGATAGGTTTTTCAGATATCTAGCGTTAATTTGGTACTTAGTACTACTATGGCGTCTATTTATGGATGAATTATAACTTTGGAACTCAAAAGTTATTTTGACATCTTAGGATAGCTTTATCACAGATTTTGTACTATTGTCTTATATTTACTTTTTGCCTTTGATCCTTATCGTGTTTTTTCATATTAAGAAAATAAGATAATTGAGGCAGCAACAATGTCCATCTGAATGAACGTATACACATATGTTACATTCAATGTCTATAATGTTTATCATTATAAGTGCAATATTTATTGTCTGTTCAACTCCGTTATATATATACATGCGGAATATACATATACATGCGGAAATCTTTTTTTTCTGTATTTTCAGCACTGCGTGAGTTATCGCCCTTGTTATTTTATGTTACTTATTATATACATGTATATGCAAATATATGTAAATAATGAATACTTAATTAGTGTTGAATTAGAATAAAGTTATCATTTATAATCATTGTATGTTACTTTAGCTGGGTAACTTAAAGTGTGTTTAATGAAGTCTTAATTAGTATTTATATTAGTTTGTAAATAAATGATCACTATGTATAATATATGGTACTTGGAATATATAGGGTTTTTACTGGCGATTATAATAAAGAGGTTCTGGATTAACTACTTAACAGACCTTGCTTGTACATGTAAGGGTGTGGATTTCCCTACCTATATCGACAGTGATATGTGTGCAGTCATCCTTGCTTATTGCTAGAGTGTGTGGTCACCCAGACTCTGAATGAAGTGTGTGGACATCCCTGCTTGTTGCTGCGCGAAATCAGGTGTGTGGACATCCCTGCTTGTTGCTGCGCGAAATCAGGAGTGTGGACATCCCTGCTTGTTGCTGCGCGAAATCAGATGTGTGGACATCCCTACTTGTTGCTGCGCGAAATCAGGTGTGTGGACATCCCTGCTTGTTGCTGCGCGAAATCAGGTGTGTGGACATCCCTGCTTGTTGTTGCGCGAAATCAGGTGTGTGGACATCCCTGGCTGAATCTTGTAGCAGAGCATTGGTGTGCGGACATCCCAACCAGTGTCTAAATACTAGAACCGTATTTTAGTTTCAAGTTTGCAACCATCCCTGATTGTCACCGCACAAGGGCAAGTGTGCGGTTATTCCTGTTTGTCTCTTGTGGAAGTTCGTCGGTGTGTGGACTCTTCCCTACCAGTGTCACTTGTTCGCTACCAGTAGAAACCTCAAATACGCTATACCAAGTGATTAAGACTGCGCATTGTACATATTTGCAGCATCTCAGGGTTATCCGTTTATATCACAGGTACAAGCCGGTGTAAAGACGAATAATGACCCCCATCGAATAATGACCGGGGGGTCATTTTTCAACAACAAAAAGTGACCCCCACCCGTAGAAAAAAATCATTTTTTGTAGAAAAAGGGTCCTAGGGGGTCATTATTTTATATGTTAGTCCTATAAAATAATGACCCCCTTTGAAAAATGACCCCCTTTAAAGTGATACAAAATATACACTCTTTGATATCTTTTTTACAGCGAAACTAATTTTATATTTTCTGTAACCAGAAAAATACAAAAAGTCGTATGAAATAATTAAGAGATTCACGATCTTTCAATGCTAAAATTGTGTTTGAAAAGAGATTCTTTAATTGTCAAGTAAATAAAATTTCTTTTTAATATTCCTCCTTATAATGTTTGCTTAAAGAATGATATTCCACTTGTTTTTAGAAATCAAACCATGCAAAAATCAGGTTTAAATACTCTTTAACATATAGGAAAAATTAAATTTTCCGTCATTTCAACTTTTAGTTTGTTAGTTTGCAAATCCTATTTGACAATGAAAGAGGAGGAAATTTTTATCCCCCCCCCCCAAAAAAAAGAACATTACGTTAAATCAAAACAAAAAAGATAATAATAAACTAGAGCCGAGCTCGTTGCAAGGCAACGAGTAGGTCTTCCGTCCTGTTTGACCGGAAGTAACTTTCATTTAAAAAAAAAGAGTAATGAAGTCCAAAAATGGGCTAATCCTCCAAATCTATGTTAAGTATAGCAAAATTAAGCCATTCTTTGGTACTTCCGGTTTGACCGGAAGTGACAACGATGGACGGAAAATTAATATTTAAGCTTCTAGTGACACATGTTACCCAAAAACCTGTCAAAAAGAGCAAAAATATGAATTTTCTGACTACTTCCGGTTCGACCGTAAGTGACGTCGCCGGACGTATTTTTCGCTGTCGAAAAATGACCCCCGGTCATTATTCGATGGGGGTCATTATTCGTCTTTACACCGGCAGGGGTTCACAAGTAGTGACCTCCCTTGCACTTTACACACGAAACACTACATTACGTCTTTAGGTTTTGAAATTCTGAGTATGTTTTCTGTTCTTGAATTAAAATAAGATATTCAATATCCAATCTTGGTGTAATGCTGAATAATTGTATAAACCCGATCATTTATTTCCTGTTTACCTCTTCTACACGAAATTTCTCAACAGATGTGGGACATTTAGACATGAGTTAAATTGAAATCTACTACTACAGTATAAACTGTACGCAAATGTATGAAAGAAGTTTGTTTTATGAAATTATCTATTATCTCTGAGCGTTCGATGCATTCTAGATACATTTTCCTAATATTTCCTTCTTTAAAAAATGGTTTAACAAAAATCACCTTTCATCTTTTATTATATATGTTAATTAAAATAAAAAAAAATAAAGATAGTTTCTGACGAAAAAAATACTCGGTCATCCTTTCAAAGTGAATGCTGTTTTACCTCTCTAGCGCCAGACAGAGTTCATCTTATAGAACGGAAATTTATTTTTCAGTTTTCTTCAAATAAATGCGAATGAAATCTCTGAACACATATAAATAAAATAAGCAGTTTATGGAAAGATATACTTTTACTGAACTTTTTATAAATTGATTTACCGATCACAGTAGCCTAGTCGTAGAGCGGAGACCGTATAAACCGGGGTCCCGTGTCGCAGTTAGGTTAATATTAGCACGAAAAATATCCCTCCCTGTTCAATGGCTCTAAATGCCGAGTATAGGACAAAATTTGCAAATCTCAACCGGCAAGTTGTGGCGTCTCCATGTGAGTGAAAAATTCTCAAGAGGGATATTAAACAATATACAATCAATCAATCAATCGTGATCGGGAGACCTGGGTTGGATTCGCATTCACATCATTCCTAAGACGCAAACATACAGTGTAGGTAGGGACGATGCCTTCGCCAAGTGCTCAGCACTTGAAGTTAAAGTCACGGGTTTTTCGAATATGACCTTAAAAACGTAGGTACCGTGTTACAGTAGGCGCTGGCACGATAAAGATCCCTCACTGGTCAATGGCCCTGAGTTCCGAGTAAAGGTCAAATTTTGAAGCCCTTCACCGGCATACGGTGACGTCCCCATATGAGGGAAAGTTATCGAGATGAACGTTAAACAATAAACAAACAATCAATCATTTATAAATAAATTAATTCCTGAATGACTCTTAAATAAAGCCTACATGCAAGAACCAAAACTAGTCTATACATGTATGACTATGCTATATAAAATGCCATGAAGGCATGGCTAAGTGAATGAAAAAGTGTACAAAATAACAATTATTAAAAGGAAGTGGTATATGTTTTTTAGAAAAAAAAACAGCACATCTATTTCGAAGGAAACTACCAATTTATTTTTATTTACTTACTTTGAAATACGTTGAAGATTATAATTTAACTGGGCACAGGGAATAAAATTTTATTTACCATTTTTAGACTCTTCATATTTAGAGTTTTTATGATAATATACTTGTACTAAGAAATAGTGTTATTTTCCTTTACTCATCCATGATTTAACTATCCAAATTAAATTAATGCATATTTAAGTTTAATATAAAACATGTATTAAAAACAGTTTAATAATTAAAATTAATAACTGGATGTGAAAACTTAAATAAATACACAAGCCTAAAAATTTAAATTGCAATTGAATCAATGCCAAAGGGGCATATGATCGGGCTGCGATAAGAAATGGAATTTTAAGTTTAATTTTATATGAAGGAAACACAATAGCGCGGGGTTAGTCTACGAAAATAACGTCCTCCAAAACAAGGTCTTGGTTGATATAAACCCATATCAATTTGTTGCATGTTGTTTTACGCCCATTCGAACAATGTTCCTTTATATAGAGACATCTCCTGCCATACTGAATCATATCTATGTTTTGCAGATACAGGTGTGAATACTTTGATAAAATTTTGATTGCTATTGGGTAAACAGATGGGAACCTTACAAAGTTCCTTTGTAAGAAGCAAAAAAAAAAAACGTTGTTGTATTCATAGAAAGCAGGATTCCATCAAAGTATTATACATAAGAAGGGAGCAGTTGCTGTAGCCTTCGACTAAACATTTAAATATATCTATAACGTTTAACAATCAACAATGATTAGTTCAACTTATATGTCGACAAGATGTTTCCAAGTAAACTAAAAAAAACACATAGTCTGACACATCTCTTTCATATTACGAGCAAAA